TGAAGCAAAATTTCTATTGCTGACGTTAAAAAGTGCCTTCCTGGTCTAATTGAAATAAATGATTTTGACTTTGACTTTGAAAACTGGCCCAGAGGCGGACTAAACCTATAGAGAGCGCCCTATGCAAGCACCTCATTGGCGCCCATAATCTTTTTGGCGCCACCATCACTATATGGGCAATTCGGCGCTTCTCTGTAACCTGGCGCCCTAGACACTTGTCTAGTTCACCTTAGTGATAATACGGCTCTGCACTGACCTCATAAAATACAAACAAACTACATTACAAACACATACATACATTGGAGCACAATATTACTATTTTCTGACATTGACATTTCAATTCTGAATGACAGTGACAGCTGCCAAATGGCACAGATTATAAATATATTTGCGAACGGCCACTCGCATTTATGATATAAAAAATATGGAACTAGTCATGGTGGCGCAGAGGTTTAACCAATCGTGTGTCTAAACATGGATCCACGAGAGACACAATGAATTTTCTATTGTGTCTTATATCGGTGCATTCAAGCGCGAAAGAAGATGCCCGCTTCTCATGCATGAGAGTGCTGGTTCGAAACCTAACGAGTATCAATGTGACTTTTTATTGTTATAATACAGATTATTTAGACACCACTGACAAGCGGTGAGGGAAAACATCGTGAGGAAACGTGGGCTTATAATTTCTAATTATAAGTTTGTAATCGCCAACCCGCATTGAGCAAGCGAGGCCTTTGGTTAGCAGTGGCCACTTATAGGCTGTTGATAATAATGAAGAATTTTCGCCAAATTAAATAGTAATACTATGCCCAAAAGACTAATAGTGTTTAATAAATTAAAACTAAACAGTCAAATATTCAGGCCTATCTAAAAACCTATTGGTTTCCAATATCCCTTGCTTGCCACCGATAGATGTCGCTAGCATAGTTTTAAGTCTTGTCTGGTATCAAAAAGTTTACTGTGTCAAGTTGATATTAATAAATAGTTATTTTAATTTATTTAGCCGTTGACACCAACCACCCTTAAACCACCTCTTAACTAAGAGTTACTCAGCATGAGGTAGCACCTAAACTAACCCCATATGTACTGGGAAGTGTGAATATTAACTGAAATATTAAGTGCCACCTAGTAATTCCCTAAAATTTAAGAGCGGTTAATAAAAACGAGCATAAGTAAATTATTTAAAGCTCCAACCAAACTATGTCAAAATTGTCTCAGTTAATTAGGTTATTGAAAACACCCCTAAAAGACTTTAAACTACACCAGCGCCTCTACCGGCGCAAAAACCCTTCAACTATAAGCTCACGCCATTGGTCATTCCAGCCTACCAATCCACCAATCACATATCAAATCAACATTCGTAACTGATCAATCAGAAACCTTTTACTCGCCAGAATCATGTCAAGCGTCATAATTTAGTTTTATAAAAGAATTGAGGTTTAAGTCCAAAGATTATTAAGAACGAAATTTTCAACCGATTTTGAGCCAAAATCTATGCATTAGTCTATTTTAATCGACTTCAAAAAACAAAGAAAGAGGCCCTCAGTTTGACTTGTATATGTGTTATTTATCGTGGTGGCCCGGAGGTTTAAGACGCCCGCTTTTCATGCATGAGAGTGCGGGCTCGAAACCTACCAACGGCAAGTACCAATGTGACTTTTTCCGAGTTATATGTACTTTCTAAGATTATTTAGACACCACTGACAGGCGGTGAAGGATAACATCGCGAGGAAACCTGGGCTTATAATTTCTAATTATAAGTTTGAAATTGCCAACCCGCATTGAGCATACGTGGTGATTAATGCTCAAACCTTCTCCGTGTAAGAAGAGGCTTCGCCGGTTGTCTTGTGGTACGATGATGGAAAGGACTAGGGGGAATCAAGTTGTGCAATTCCTCCGCATTCTTACCGAAATGTATAATTTTATCGTAGCTATTGGCATCAGTTGTATGGAGTTTTAAACAAAAATATATACAGTTCAAGAGATTTTGAATTAAAACCGGTTTATTTCGACCTTAAGTATAAGATTTGATTTTTTATGATGGTTTTTGCGTAATGGAGAATAATATTGATCAATGAAATGATAAAGTAACTGAATTCTGCTCTGTACTTAAATATCTTAGCGTGATGTTAGGTAGAGACCTCATCTCGGGTGATAGTTAGTTTTTATATTTTTTTTATATTTGATGGGCCGACGGTTGACGACTATCTCGCCTGGTATTTTGATTTTCAAATCGCATGTAATAGAGGGCCACTTATTTGTCATACTCCGTATTTATTAGTGATACTATTAACCCGAGAATCGGACTCAATTGTTTAGCAGTCGTATTAACGAGCAACTAATCAAGGAAATAGGTTATAGGCCACCTAACATTACGCTAAGACATAATAAGAAGGAAATCGGATGAAACCGAGGCAAAATATTAGTCTAGATACATTACACCTCTTTTTGAATATTGTAAACATTTATATGGAAGTAAAAATCTACAACTTATAAGACATGGTAGACAAAAAATCTAGCACAAACTAGATATTCCAAAAACCCCCGTTCGCACTAGGGAAACGTACAGCTCAATATTAAGGCCATAGGAATGTTTAAATTCACATTTTCGCTAAAACACGTGCCCGAAATCAATCGAGGTACACCGAAATCGTTCGAGGATGCTCGAAAATAGTAAAAAACCCTAGTGCGGACTGTGAGTTAGTTAAAAATTACATTTGTTGTGTTGAGTTACCATTCCAAGTATTATTGTCATCATCAGGTGCGCGGTCGCTGGGTAGACGATGTATGTTGCCTCGTCGCCGGACCCCGCCTGAGGCGGCCGGGGGACCAGGGGAAGGAGCCCGCGGGGTTCGGGGGGACGTGGCCGGAGGGGGGAACAGGCGCGTGCGCAACCAAACTAGGAAAGTCTGTGATGGTTCTAGGATCATAGTCGTGAATAGCTGTGAGAAGAATGCTGTGGAACAAATATTGGTTTCGTTAGTTTTACTTATGGAAAAATACTATTTTTATTGCATTGTTTGTTGTTAAATATTACCTGTATGTATAATAACTATCGTGAGACATACTAAATTAAAAAATAATGTCGGTTTAGTCACGTAAATAACTTCGTTGCAAGTGTGAGGGAGCCATCAGCGATGTGTTTGGTCTGGTGTGTGGGGTTGTCGGAGTCCCAATTACCCCTCACCTCCACCCCCAATCTCCCCAATCCCAGAACTTTCAACAATCCTCAAATTCCTAATCCCATAATGCCGGTAACGCGCTTGTAACGATTTGGATTTCCAGGTCTCCATGGGCGACGCTGATTGCTTACCATCAGGTGATCAGTCTGCTCGTTTATCGGCTTATGCCATAAAAAAGTTGAGGAGTATTCTGCGCGACGTCGCAGCTCATAAGCAAGAGTCCCTATGTGAGTCGAAACGTAGTAGTCGTAGTAGAGAAGAGCTTTTCTCAATATTTACTTGAGTAAATCAGTATTATTTATTAATTTATTACCTAATTAAATTATTACGTTTTCGGCTTACTCACGTAATTATTTGACGAGGAACTCGACTAGTTTCAAGCCATACTAGAGGCTCATATTCATGAGCAGCATTAATAATTTAGTATGTCTCACGAAAGTTATAATACAAATGTATTACCTAGTTAAAATTTTGCGAAAAATGCGAAAATCGACATCGAAAAACTTCGTATAAGACGAAAAGATGAGACAGATCTTACATCATTGCTATTAATGACGTCAGCAAAGCGCTGACAGTCCTCTTGATCTCGGACTGGGCTCGACTGTCAACGTCTCAGGTTTGATTCAAATATTTCTTTAATTTTCTATTTGTAAAACGAATATATATGATAACATTTAATTTGTCGTTCACAATAAAATGTACGAATTTTAAGCAGAAACATCATGGAACCTTTTACTAACAATTAGTAACTGAAACAATATGAATAACTTACTGATAATAGTAGCGACACTAGACGGGCTGGCGACGGCGGGCGCGGGGCGGCGCGGCAGCACCAGTAGCGCGGCCGACGGCGCCAGCTGCAGGCCGCGCAGGCTGGCCGCCGCCTCCGTCAGCTCGCGCCGGGGGAACGCCGTCCACAGCGCGAATGACGACGTCGATAACTGGGAATAAAAAAAAATAACCAAATGTCTGAGTGATTATGAGTGAGGACTGCACGGTTGGTGCGGTGGCTGGGCAACCAACCGGCTGCCGTGCAACGTGTCGCGGGTTCGATTCCCGCGCGGGACAACACTTTGTGTGATCCACAAATTCTTGTTCCGGGTCTGGGTGTCATTGTGTATGTGAACTTGTATGTTTGTAAACGCACCCACGACACAGGAGAAAATCCTAGTGTGGGGCAACGTTAAACGACAAAAAATATGAGGCATTTTCTCGCTGTCGAGCAAGGGTAAAAGCGGAAACCGCGAGTTGTAATATGAGGTACAAAGATCGAGTACAAAATAATCTAGCTACTGACCCTTTTTTTTTAAGGGGGGAAAATCATCGAATGACTGCTCCCGCCTGGGTGAGGCGGGAGGGAGTGTCAGACTCTTACTGACTAAAAACCACCCCGTTCCTTCTCCTGCACGTCGAGCCGGAGCCCCGGTTACCCGTTAGGTTCT